GTGCAGTTCTGGGACCTTGGAGGGTAAAGATAAGGTTTGGAATGTTCAGGGAAGCTTGTATAAGGAGAGTCAGAGCAGAGAGAGGCAGAGGTATAGAATTGCTAGATGTACTCAGTCCTGTTTGCAACTGTCACTGCTCCAATGCCTTTTGTGTACAAGTTTTTTCTCTTCTTTGAGCCATGACTAAACCATGTTTTTCCTTTTTTTTTTTTTTTTTTTTTTTTAATTTCCTAGACTCTGAATTTAGGATGCAGAAGGCATAGCTCTTGGTCCCTTGGTCCCTGTCATGGCTTTCTCAAATGGAACTCTGGTCCACCCAGCCTATTTCCTACTGGTGGGAATCCCTGGTGTGGGGCCTGATGTACACTTTTGGCTGGCTTTCCCACTGTGTTTTATGTATGCCTTGGCTACTCTGGGCAACCTGACCATCATCCTCATCATTCGCATGGAGAGGCATCTGCATCAGCCCATGTATCTCTTCCTGGCCATGCTTTCCACCATTGACCTTGTCCTCTCCTCTGTCACCATGCCCAAGATGACCATCCTTTTCCTGATGGGCATTCAGGAGATTGAGTTCAGTGTTTGCCTAGCCCAGATGTTTCTTATCCATGCTCTGTCAGCCATGGAGTCAGCTGTCTTGCTGGCCATGGCTTTTGACCGCTTTGTGGCCATCTGCCACCCATTGCGACATGCTTCTGTGCTGACAGGGCCTACTGTGGCCAAGATTGGATTAGCTGCCCTAACCAGGGGATTTGTTTTCTTCTTCCCACTGCCCTTCATCCTGAAGCGGTTGTCATACTGCAGAACGCATACTGTCACACACTCCTTCTGTCTGCACCAAGATATTATGAAGCTGTCCTGTACTGACACCACCATCAATGTGGTTTATGGACTCTTCATCATCCTTTCAGTCATGGGTGTGGACTCCCTCTTCATTGGCTTCTCCTACATCCTCATTCTGCGGGCTGTGTTGGAGCTGTCCTCTCAAGGGGCAGCACTCAAGGCTTTCAACACCTGTATCTCCCATCTCTGTGCTGTCCTGGTCTTCTATGTGCCCCTCATTGGGCTCTCAGTGGTTCACAGGCTGGGTGGTCCCACCACCCTACTTCATGTGGTTATGGCTAATATCTATCTACTGCTACCACCCGTAGTCAACCCCATTGTCTATGGAGCCAAGACCAAGGAGATCCGTTCAAGGGTCGTCCATATGTTCTCACAAGGTGGCAGACGAAAAAGAATCTCACCTAAGCGTCCAGAATACTACCAAAGATGAGAGGATGAGAATCTGTAGAATATCTTGGTGATTGGAGTAACCAACCCACTGGGATCACTGCTTCCAGTTACCTAAATATAGACCTTATATTTCTGCCTTTAGGGATTTATCAATATAGAAGAATTTATGACCCAGTCTGGACAGGCTATCCTGGAAAATGACCGTTGTAGTCTCTGTTATGATGACCTTGACTTCCCCCTCTTTTCCAACTAGAAAATACACATGGTTTTGGCTTGGAAAGACTATAAATGCTATATCTCATGATTCATTCTGGACTTGATATATGGTTTTTAATTTTGTTTGCCAAAATATATTCACATCAGCTAAACTGTGTTGGCTATAAAATTTATTGCTTGTACCCTGAAGTGGTTACACAGTCATAATTAAGAGTTAGTGAAGGTAATGGGGGGACAGTAATTGGAGGGAAACTGTATTAAGAGAGGAGGCAAGTTGACACAAAGGTTAAAGTTGTTTTTTTTTTTTTTATGCATGTGTGTGTGTGTGTGTGTGTATGTGTTGAATCTGCCAATATTCATCTGTGTAAGTTCATAAGGACACCATGTATTCTGGTTGTGGGTGTGAATGTGTGGTATATATGGACATATGTACTTTGTGTTTGTGTGTGTGTTTGTGTGTGTGTGTGTGTGTGTGTACATGTGCATTCACAAGAGAGAGAAAGAAAGAAAGAGGGGAAAAGGAGAGAGAGAGAATATGTATTCTGGTGAGTGTAGTAGCTGTATCTTGGAATATAGGTTTTGTGAATATGTCTCTGATTGTGCCTTTCCTTCGTTTATGTACTATATGGCAGTTGGTATGTGTTGTGTATTTATATGAGAATACTGATATGTGCATCTGTATGGTGGGAAATGTCTTTATGTGTGCCTGGTGGGAATGCCACCTCTGTCTTTTCTTCACATTTGTAAAATGTGGGATGTGGTGCACAATCTTGTGGAATGTGTAGTGTTGGGATGGCTGTGCCTTTTAGCATGTGTGCTGTTTATCCTTGGGTATATGTGTGTTGTGCATAGCATTTTTGATATAAATTCATTTTATGACACACACAAATACATCACAAAAATATGAGTTTTTTTTTATTTATTGCATTGACCAGGAATACCAGGACACAGAGAAGGTAACTATGAACTGCCTTTATTATTTATCATAGTAAGGGAAAAAAATTCAGTCTTTTACTATTAGGCATGTTCTATCAATTATTGAGAGAAGTATTGAAATTTCTTTACTATAATTTTGAATTTGTTTATTTTTTATTGTAATTATGTCACTTGTTTTTAGTTGTGTCACTATTATTTGCTCTTAAATCTACTGTCTTGTATGAATAAAACCACTTCAGATGTCTTATGATTGGTGTAACCAAGATCTATCTTTTCTTATTTATTTTAATCTATTTGTGTTTTTATGTTTGAAGTATTTTTCTCATAGACAGCACATTGTTAGTCTTGTGGGTTTCTTTTTTTTTTTTGTACCAAGGATTGAACTCAGGGACACTTAATCACTGAGCTATATGTTCAGCCTTTTTTATTTTTTATTTTGAGGCAGGATCTCACTAAGTTGCTTAGGGCCTACTAAATTCCTAGGGCTGGCTTTGAACTTGCAATCCTCCTGCCTGAGCCTCCTGAGCTTCTGGGATTACAGTTGTACACCACTGTGCCTGGCAGTCTTACATTTTTATCTAAAATGATGATGCCTACTTTTCAGTTGGGTTTAAGATATCTTTCATGTCTGTTTTTAATTTTTTGAACCTATTTATTACAGTTATAAAAATCAATCTTAATGTCTGTGTCTTCTAGTTTTAACATCTGTTTTAATTCTTGCTAGGTTTGGATCGGTAATTACTATCTTCATTATGGGTCATGTTTTTGCATACCTAATAATTGATCCATTTACAGACACTGTAAATTTTACATCTGTGCTAAATATTTTACTCTCCGTATAGATATTCTTGTGATTTTTTTTCAAGAGGCTTTTAAGTAGCTTGGAACTAGTTTGGTTATTTTGGGTCTCATTCTGAGATTTGTTAGGTGGAACTTGGTTACCACTGAGGCATGATCTTTCTATATTCTCAGTACTGAAGGATGCCCTGTGATCTTGAGGTTTTTCTAGTGTGACTGGTAGAAAGTCATTACCCTTGAGCACTGGACAATGTTAGCACTGATCTTTTTATGTGATTCCTTCCCTCACTTTAGGTAACTCACTCACCTGATGAGGTGATTATTACTTAGATGAATTCTGAAGGAAGAGCCTCTGTGTATCTCTCTATGTGTTCTTTCTCTGTGAAGATCTCTCATCTCTGATACTTTACCTTCAAATTCTAACTGGCTTGGTATTAAACCCTTACTCCACCTTCTGTTCTCAGGCAGCCCTGTAGACAGCCTGGTTCCCCTTTTCTGATGCAGCATGGAAACTCTCTTAAGGTCCTAAACAGGTAAGCTGTAGAGGTTACCTCACTCGATTACCTTGTCTCATGCCCCACTGTCCTTCGTTGCCTGATGTCTAGTGTCTTGCAAACCATCGTTTTATGGTTATTCTATTCTTTTTCATTCCTTCAGGTGGATGTAATTCTTGTTACTTCATCTTGGATGGAAGTAGAAGTTCCTAGGTTATTTTTCAAAAAAGTCTTTTCACCATCTAAGCCTGGGGGGGGTGGTTAACGGAGGCAGCAGAGTTGGCTCTAGGGTGATTACAGGGGCTATCAGGCTACAAGTTCTGCAGACACTGGGAAGACTTTGTGATTGGTAATTTTGATAAAATCTGAGACAGAATGGCCTGGTTTTACATGGTTTATTTTGGCATAGTTTGAGTTAACATGCCCTCTGTTGTGAATTAAAATGTTCAACTATGACATTGATCAGTGAAAAATAAAGAGAAACCAAATAAAAATCATGTTGCTTTATTTATAAACAGTTTTAACTTATTTCAAAATTGAAGATATTATTTTCATATTCAAATTACTCTCTAACTTTCTAAAAAAATGTTCTTACTACTTTTGTCTTTAAGAGAGACACCAGAGGGCATTGGTCTTACATGGCTGGTATTGCAGGTAGGAGATGGTTAAAAAACCATATCTTCCTGCCTTGGCCAGTAGTTCAGTAGACCAAGGCCAGGGAGTGGTAGACAGAGGCACTGTCCCTGGGGATCCCTGGTATGAGTTAGTCAGACACAGAAGCCAGAACCTTGGAGACAAAGGAGTTCCTAGCACTTTGAAGAAGGGAGGATGGACCTCTTAGGTTCCATGGTCCACAAAAGGAAAGAAGGCAGAGGGTAAAGAAAGTTTCAGGGTGGAAATGGGGTGTCAATCATAGGGTCTTCCTGCAAATTAATTTTGCCTTTCTTCTGGCTGAGTTTGATAAGCCTGTGAAGAAATTGGCAGAAGGATTCTCAAGACGACCCTGGGCATAAAAATGAGTTTCTTCTAAACTTTTCTTGCTTTCATTGCACACTGAGAGCTGACATAAGTATCCAAACTGGCAGAAGCCCATTTGGGGAGGACTCTAGAGACCTATTCTACACATTACCCCTCCTTCTCTATACCCCCAGGCACATCCTCCTAGGACTTAGAAGCTGGGAAAGAAACTCACACCAAAACTGGCTAGTGAGGTGCATAGGCTGATGGACCCTCTGGACATAACCTTGCACCCCCAGCAGGCAGGAGCAGAAGGAGGAAGGAGGGAAGAGAGAGAATAAATAATCCCTGCAAGAGAGGTCCAGAGGAGGAGGTGGAGACAGGGAGAGGGCAGGGCTTCAGTGCAATTTCCCAGACCTCTTTAGAAAGAGTTCCGGGGGAAAAGGCACACATTCCATCCCTTCAGGACAGCTGAGGTGAGTAGAGACCAGGGGGTGTAGGGGTGTGTGGGTTACTTGTGGCTAGCGATCACTGGTTAGTCCTTCTGAGAGACCGAGAAACCAGGCTGAAGAACCAGATGTACAAGGGTGGGGCTGGGGATGTGGGAAAAGCCATCCACTCCGAGGACAGACAGTAATTTCTTTTTGTGTGATGAAGGGAAGTAGGCAGGTGATAAATGTTGCCTAAGGATAGTTTTCAACCAATTTTTCAATAATCAGTGTACTGGTGTACCTGTCCAGAGGCTGGCAAGAGTATAAATGTCAGTAGGGACAGAGAACAGATTGGGGTGGGGTTATATTGGGGTTGATTTGGGTTAGGTTGTGTTTTGATGTGTGGACAGGGCCATCCCTAATTTTAAGAATGAAGTTCAGTGTGTGACTGGGGATCAGGCTGTAGCTAGGGGCATATGGGGAACTCTTGAGTGGGAACAGGGCTCATTCTATACTCTGTACCAGGAGTCAGGCTGTGGCTGAAACTGTGATTTAATAATCTTCCTGAGGCTTCAATGCTGGCTCAGTCTGTGTCTAGGATCAGAGTTTATCTTTCAGTCCATTTAAAAAGCAGCTCAGCATCCACACTGCAACCTTCCCTGCCTTGCGCTTTTTACTCCAACCACACTAGAGCCTTGCAGCTTTCCAAACAAGGTCTGGTTTCTTTTACATTGAGTCTTCGCCTTTGCCAGAGGATACTTTAAAAAACAAAGTAGACAAAGGGTGTTGCTTAAATTCCTTTCAGTCACTCATAATTAAGCTCCTTACCATGTCTGGCAAATCATAGTGACACAAGCTGGCCCCTGTCTCCTCTGGCTCATCTTAAACTCTCCTGTGCTGTTGGTGTTCTGGCCATCTTGAGCTTCTCTCTGTTCCCCGAGCTCCCCAAGATATTCTGACCTTAATACCATTTTCTTCTATTGTCTCCTTTGCCTGGAAAATGCTTTCCCTAGATCTCAGAGTGGTGGGTATTTTCTCATCACAGGGCTCTCAGTCATTTGTCACCTCTTTAGAGAAACTTTCTCTGATGTGCCTTGATCCTATCTTTCTCTATCCATCTCTCTGTCTGGTCCTTAATGCACTTTTTGATTGCTGACTAAATAATGTCTTTATATGAAATTTTCTTTCCTGTTTCTATATTTACTTTTAGTTGTTGTCCTCCTGGTATATGAGGTGCATGAGCATGATCTCATCTGTTGTATACACTGTTTGATCTCCAGCTTCGGCAGTATGTTTTTGTTAACTGAATCCTACTATCTCTGCCCTCCCCCACCCCAACTCCCTGATTAAATGCAACTGGTCCTGCAAGCCATGGTTCAGTGTCACCTCTTTGTGGAACCCTCTGAGCCTAAATATGGTGAGCCATGGTTGTCTTTGCTTCCAAGATCCTGATGCTTACCCTTGCCCTAGCACTTATCATAATGTGTTGTGAGAACTGTATGTTTGCCTCAGTCTCTCCTCACACCTAAAGGGCTGGAGCTGTGCCTTGTTTCCCCTGTACCTCAGTGTCCCCAGTACTTAGTGAGTTGTCTGGAACATAGTAATCAGCAATCAAAAATTGCTGAAAACACTGTGTACTGACTCAAATCCCAAATCAGGTGTTTCTCCTGCTCCACATTTGCCTTCAGTTAGGCACAAGGTAGCCTAACTCCATGGGGCACTGATAGATAACAAGGTCAAACTTCGCAAGACTGATCTTACTTATGAGGAGAATGGAAAGGGACCTGAACCCTAGGAGCTCCTCCTTGGGCTAAATTTAGGGGACCAGTTTGACTTGAGTGAGTAGGATAAGGTGGAAATTTCACTCAAGTTTTTGTAATTATCAATTGCATTATTTCATCTTTCCAGTCTCATATTGGCCATTTAAAAAATAATGGCCAAACTCCTTCAAGGGTTCATCTGCTTGATCAAATCTAAGCAATGTATGGGGCACATTGGGTGCAGATAATTTGGGTGGATGTGATCTGGCAAGACTGCCCTAATGTAGAGTTAGGATAAAGTCTCCTCCAATAATTGTGAAAAGACCCTGCGGTCTTTGTCAGTCATGGCATTGCTTCTGAGATCTGCCTTCCTTCCCTGGATTGGCAGTGGGAACCAGAGGCTCCCAGGTATGTCTAAGATTCTCTCCAAGAGAATTTGCTTCCAAATATTCCCATTAAATCTGGAAGTAGCACCAGTGTCCACTTTGTTACTCTAGGCATGAGACATTATGTGTCCAGATAATGACAGACACCATAAACCCCCTCTCCCATTACCCCTTGTCTTCCTTTCACGTTGAACCTAAGTGGGGAGAGCTAGCTGGAGGTCTTGAACTCTAGAGAGGTACCTGGACTCAAGGTCCTCAATTTTGGATTCAATGGAGAACAACATGAAATAGCCCTTACAAATCATCTATTTATTTATTTTTTTTTAACAATGCCTTTATTTTTATGTGGTGCTGAGGATTAAACCCGGGTCCCGCCCATGCTAGGCTAGTGCTCTACCTCTGAGCCACAATCCCAGCCCCCATCTATTTATTCTTAAGGAAACTGGGTTATGAGCAGGGCAGTAGCCTGGCATTTTGGAAAACATGTAGATTTGCCACTCTGTGCTCTAACCTTCAATGTTTTATCTGCCAAATGGGACTAATAATACTAACTTGATGGGTTGATGAGAAGTTCTAATTAGATAGCAAGGAGATACTTGGCAGAGGACAAATCTTTTAATCTCCGCTATGGTTCCTCCCTGTGTCACAGACAGTAGAGTTGGGGCTGGAAGAGGAGGATGCCGCCTCAAGTCCCTGTCCAGGAGAGTCCTCTTTCTGCCCTCCTGGTTTCCCTCTGAGATTATACCTGGGCCAGGTATTACACCTATCAAGCTATTCTTTTACTTTACCTCCTGGGAAGATTTTTTTAGCTTTCAGAGGGTGTAGCACAGTTAAAGGGAGCCTGGATCAGGAAACGTGTACAGGTCTTGGAGTTAGTCTAGGTCAAGTTTCTGCTTTACTAATCAACTGTTAAATCCTGAGAATGCTGTTTAACTCCTTGGAACCTCAGTTTTTTCATCTACAATGTAGAAAGGACACACAAAACTCCTCTCATGCAGAGTTGTTCTTGGATTAGAGATAATAATATACAGTAGGTACTGTATAGTGTCTGGCATTTTGTAGGTATATAATGAAATCTGCTAAAGTATTATTAAAAACAACAAAATCAGTGTTGTGGGTGATTTCATTGTTTCCTTGGGTCAGAAGAGAGGGTGAAGAGTGCCATCTTCCTCTCTGTGTGCTTTTCCATGGATCTATGAGAAGCGGTTGGATAGGGGATGAGTGTTAAACTGGCTCTAACTGGCAGAGTTCTGAAGGCCAGGGGGAAGGAAGGAAGGAAGAGGATTGAGGGCCTCAAAGTGAATCTCTACTCCATAGCTGGGGACTCCCTTGTTCCCCATTCTGAGAAAGGGCTAAGATATTCTTCATGGTTCTCCAAGAAACATTCCTGGGACTTGCTAAGATAGTTTGAGGTTTTAGAGAAAATTTCAAGGGCAGAGTTATCCCTTGGGGATTAGGGCAGTGTGTGGGCTTTCTAAAAAAAGAAAGAAAGAAAAAGAAAAAAAAATGATTTCTTTGTTTATTTTTCCTTAATTCTACTTTTTTTTTTTCCATAACAGAGTGATTTAGTTCCAACTTCCTTCTGAGCTCAAAGCATCTTTTGAGTGCATGCAAATGGTTTTAATTACTAACAGATGCTCAGGCTGGAAGGCTACCTGGGAGTTCTCTTTGTCCTCTGCTACCTCTTGGGGAGACTGTGAGATTGAGATTCTTCAGGGCCAGCAGCCTGAAGAGCACTAATTGGGCTCTCTGGCTGGCTCCCTCTCTGTTCCTTCTATTTCTATTGCTGTAGTCTTCTTGGGTCCAGATTGGTATCCAACTTCCAGCAACAGCAGCCCATTTTGTGCTACTTATGCACATCCCTTCAAGGTCAGCTTACTCTTCCCTTTTAGATTTTGGGCATCTGTACATCAGTGCCCATTCTTGCCATTGTGAGAGATTAACTGTTATCACTGTGTGTGTCTATTGGTGAAAGAATGAGTGTGCCAGAGGTTGAGTGGTAATTAAGATAACAAATTGGGCGAAATGAAAAATTCTTGGAAACTTCAAACATTTTCATAGATCTTGTTTTCCATTTTTTTGATGGAAAAAAGTGCTTGCGTGCTGTAATTGTTTTTTCAACACCTTTTGATATGCCTTATAATATAATTTCATAGCAGCACTATGAGGTTATTATTATTCTCTGCATTCTTTAGGGAGAAGATTCTTAGCTCCAAGATTTTGCTCGCCACATCACTCTACCCACCATGGTAATGGAAGGGAGGTGGTTATTGAATCCAAGGACACTCTACCATTGAACTGTACCCCCAGCCCTCATTATTTTTTACGTTGAGACAGAGTCTTGTTAAGTTTCCAGGGCTGGCCTCAAACTGTGATCCTCCTGCCTCAGCCTCCCAGTTAGCTTGGATTATAGGCATGAGCCACTGCACCAGACCACCAATACGTTTTTTTTTTTTTTTTAATTTCTTTTCTTTCTTTCTTTCTTTCTTTTTTTTTTTTGAGAGAGAGAGAGAGAGAGAGAGAAAATGAATCTTTTTTTTTTTTTTTTTTTTTTTGTAGATGGACACAACACAATGCCTTTATTTTAGCATGGGTCCCGCCCATGCTAAGCAAGTGCTCTACCACTGAGCCACAATCCCAGCCCCACCAATACATTTTCTTCCCCCCCCCCCACGATGTAAACAGCAAAGAGGTGTTTATTGTGAGCTAGCTCGGTCCTCCACGCACACACAGCAACTGGTGACGCTGAGAGTCCAGGGTTTGCAGGAGTTTTATACAATCTTTAGAGAAGGCAGGGACCCCCACATACATCATAGCATCTCTTAGCAAATCATCACACACCGCGGGAAAATCAAACAACTCTAAAACATGATTCGCACATTCACTGGCGGGAACAAGTTGGGTAGGGGTGATTGGTTACTACAAGAGGGGGATTCATTTGAACTGATTGGTTTAAGCCAAGAGGGGGTGTTTGTGCTGAACTACATGGTTTCCCAACACCATAAACTACTGGGAGGGTCATTTGGCATCCCAGGTATTTTCCTGTCTCATGCAGATTGGTGGCTGCTAGGGGATTGCTAGCCTGACTGAGTCAGGGACACCTGGCACAGCAGATCTTTCCTGTTATTTGTAGATAAACAACTTAGCAGGGTGGAAATGTGCCTAGGCCCACCAATACGTTTTCAATGCAGCACATTTTTATTATGGGGATTTGTTTGCTCTACCATGTCTGTTCATGTGAAACTGGTGGATGGCATGGATACTTGGCCCTCTGGAGCATCAGAACCTTCTTGCTAATGTTTTCAGGTGAGGGATCCTAGGTTTTCTATCAGGTGCAAACTATGCTTCATATCCTCTTTGCATTTATTAAAGCCAAGGCATTGCAGTTACTCTGTTTTCTGCATGTCCTCTTGTGCCCTCTGGCTCCCTGAGTAAGAAAGGGCTCTTCTGTTTGACCCTAAAGATTCTTGTTCTAAACTTAAGACCACCCTGCTCTGACCTTGCAAACATTCTTTCCTCCCTCTCAAAAGTCTCTAACGTTCCTACATTTGGCAGACCGACCTTCTTCTTAACCGTGTTAACCTCAGATGCTCACTGGGGGATTCTTTTGTTGATAAAATTTATTTTTATAGTCAATAAACACTGACTTAACACTAATAAATATAGTAGGATGCCTGCCTGGCATTCAGCAGTTTAAAATTCAGGGAAAAATGAATATAGCAATAATTAGATTTCTTATTATCAGAAGGGTAAATGCATAAAAAGAGACCTAAGTAAAGTTCTTTGGGAGCACAGAGCAGGAAACATTTAATTATGCCCAGGGGAAAGAAGCTTAGGAAAAGTAACATAGGAGAGAGAAAGTAAGCCAGGACATAAAAAATGAGTGTGGGAAGTTGGAGGGAGGTCTGGGAGGAACCGTTTCTCTTGATCAAAGGATGAGAAATAAAACAGGCAAAATGAAACAGTCACGAGAATCAGTTTTACTTTTATGAAGCAGCATGTATTCCAATGTGGCTGGAGCACAGGGGCCATGGTGAGAGGCCTAAGGCCAGATTCTGAAAGGCAGTTCTTTAGCCATATCCTAAGGAGTTTTGTCTTTATTCTACAATCCATTTGGAATTTTCAAGCACATTTTTAAAATAATTGGCAGTTAGATTACGAAGATTGTGCTGATGAGGAAGGCTATACTAGAGGCAGGGAAGTCAGGATCAGAGTGTGTAGCTGGTGTGACTGGCGAGGCCACCACAATAGGAGAAAGACATACTGGAGGAAAACATTAAACAAGAGTTATGCGTTTTTTATGCTTCTTCTGTGATGTATTGAGTCAAATGCTTTTCAGTCTTCTTCTCATTTAATTTTCACATTGACCCCATGAGGCAGGGGCTGTTATCATTTTAAAGATCAGGAAACTGAGACTTAGAAATTTTAAATGACTTATTTGAGATCACACAGGTCATGCCTGGGATTGGAATGTAGGATTGACTTCAAAGTTCATTCTCTGAATGGCCATGGAAGAGGTTATTTTTTGGAAAGAAAGTGTTTGATGTGCTTGAGAGATAGTCAGGTAGACACTTAGTAAGACTTTGGAATTATGAATTTGAACCACAAAAGAGAATTCAGCACACACTAAATAGATTTTGGAATTGAGAGTTTATACATAGAAAAATGGATATGTACAAAGCCCCTTCCCAACTCTTAAGGGCCAAATCCTAAAGCTCTGACCATATGTATCATAGACACACACACACACACACACACACACACACACACACACCTGGCCCTTTGTGTCCATGAGTTCTACATCTGGGGACCTGACCAACTATGGATCAAAAATAATAGAAAATACTGAACTTTGGGGCCATTAAGTAAAATAAAGGTTTTCTGAGCACAAGCACTTTGAAGCCATGGCAGTAGAGGCAGTAGATCTGATAATCAAGAAGGCTACTAAGTGACTAATGGGTGAGTCAGATAAATATTGTGGATACACCAGGTAAAAGGAAGATTCATGTCCCAGGTACACCAGAGTATGGTGGCACATTTCATCATAGTACTTTGTATCACATACAATGTAAAGCTTGTGAACTGCTTATTTCTGAAATTTTCCATTTAATATTTTTAGATCTCAGTTGACCATGAGTGATTGAAATCATGGAAAGAGCAACTATGAATCATCGCATTGAGGGAAAGATGACGTGAAAAGCATGAGGAAAGCAGGATAGAGCAGGGAAGAAAGCTAAGTAAGGACGAGGCTTCAGCTGGAGACCAGCCTCAGCCTGTTTCCAGGGGAACTGATGCACTAATTATGTTGGGTGTTGGTATACTAGTGGTGCTGTATTGTTTAATGACTCTTCACAGAGCAGTTACATTGTATTAGGTACTGTAAGTAATCTAGAGATTATTGAAAGTGTATGGCAGGATATGCAGAGGTTATATGCAAATATTAGGTCATGTTATATAAGTAGATTGATCACTCATGGGTTTTCATACTTGTAGGGGTCTTGGAAACAATTTGCTGTGTGATGGCATTCTATCTATCTATCTGTCTGTCTATCATCTATCTATCTATCTATCTATCTATCTATCTATCTATCTATCATCTCCGGTGTATGTAAATATATTTGAAAACTACAATGTACTTAGACTAAATAATCTAATAAATAGTAAGTATACATGAATATTTGCTCTTTAAAGAAGCGCAGGTTGGTTAACTTATTAGAGATGCAATCTGAGATAACCCAAGTGTCTGACATCTCCTCCCTCAGAAAAGTATCTATCTCTATCTCCACCTCTATCTCCATCTCTCTTATCTCTATCTCTATATAACTTTGATAGCCAGGTTCAGTTCAGAGTCAGCCTGAACTCCACTATAAGATTGATTATCTAATGCCACCAGCTCTGGACTAGTGTTCTAATTGTGTTAATTCCTCTGTTTTAGACTGAGTGAGTCTCCTGGAAACAGAAAAGGGGTTTCTGCTCAAATGACATACAGTAGTCCCCCTTTATCTGTGGGCAATATAGTCAAAGACCACTGATGAATACCTGAAACTGAGCCATACATATACTATGTCTTTTTGGACACATACATAACTACAGTAAGCCTTTATCTTTTCACTTAAAGGGAGCCTTTGTGGATTCTGTTTGGCAGTTCTAAATTACCAGCATCACTATCTTTATCACCTGGAGACAAGGAGGCTGACCTTATGTCAGGCAGTCACTGGCCTCTAGATGAGCCTCTTTGGGGCCTTGTGGAATCTTCTGGAGGAAGTGCCTCCCATTTGATCAAGGACAAGTCTGTGGATAAAGGGGGAATTGTGAGCCCTTAGCATTTAACATCCACTGCATATTGGAGTTGGTGCTTTGGCTTTGTAAATGGGATCTGATAAAATACCAGTGGTATCTACTGTAGATAATCTGAGTGGTCTGGACAAGTTTAAAACTTTGATTGAACATTTGGGAAAAGTTGAAATGTATAGTTAGAGTTCAGAGTAAAGTTAATTGGGGTGTTTATTACAGTAGGATTTATCATAGTAAAATGGATGTTATTAATATTAGGCTAAAATTGAAACAGTTATTATGATTAAGTATTGGGTTAATGTTAAAGGGGTTAAGGCTGGAATGGGGGATGTCATCAGATTAGTGATGAGGTTAAATTTTAATGTGATTCGTTGTTAATACTAATATTGCTACATTGGGTTTGGAATTCATTAGTCTAATGATATGGTAAGAATCACAGTCAGTATTATGCATAAAAAAGCATAAGGCTGAACAGGATAGAGGAACTGATGGTATTTTTTAAAATCATCTGAGACCAATGTATGTATACTCAGTAGCCTTTCTTTTAGAACTAAATAACTTAAAATATGATTAGAATTTTGTCCTAGTATTTTACTTGTTATTAAGATTGTACAGATGAGGTTAGTAAGTAGGACTGGGTGAATCTGCATATGATACTTTTCTATTAGATTGAGTTTAGAACGGGATTGAGAGTTTAGAGTTTGGGTAGGCAATGGAATTAGAATTTGAGTTCAAATAGGACATCAGGATTAAGGGAGGTGTGCCTTGGGATTCTGGAAGATCTGACGATGGCTTATCTTTGCATTCCAGCCTCTACCTGCCTGGCATTGGTCACTGCTCAATTTCTTCACTATGGTGGTCCCCAATGGCAATGAATCTAGTGCCACATATTTCATCCTAATAGGCCTCCCGGGCTTGGAAGAGGCTCAGTTCTGGTTGGCCTTTCCGTTGTGCTCCCTCTACCTTATTGCTGTGCTAGGTAACTTGACCATCATCTACATCGTACGGACCGAGCACAGCCTACATGAGCCCATGTATATCTTTCTTTGCATGCTTTCTGGCCTTGACATCCTCATCTCCACCTCATCCATGCCCAAAATGATGGACATCTTCTGGTTCAATTCCACTACCATCCAGTTCGATGCTTGTCTGGTACAGATGTTTGCCATCCACTCCTTATCGGGCATGGAGTCCACAGTGCTGCTGGCTATGGCCTTTGACCGCTATGTGGCCATCTGCCATCCACTACGCCATGCCACTGTGCTTACATTGCCTCGTGTTGCCAAGATTGGCATGGCTGCTGTGGTACGGGGTGCTGCACTAATGGCACCCCTACCTGTCTTTATCAAACAGCTGCCCTTCTGCCACTCCAACAAACTTTCCCATTCCTACTGCCTACACCAGGATGTCATGAAGTTGGCCTGTGCTGATATCAGTGTCAATGTCATCTATGGCCTCATTGTCATCATCTCTGCCATTGGCTTGGATTCACTTCTCATCTCATTCTCATATCTGCTTATCCTTAAGACTGTGTTGGGCTTGACACGTGAAGCCCAGGCAAAGGCATTTAGCACATGCGTCTCTCATGTGTGTGCTGTTTTCATCTTCTATGTGCCTTTCATCGGATTGTCTATGGTGCACCGTTTTAGCAAGCGGCGTGACTCTCTCCTGCCCGTCATCATGGCCAACATCTACCTACTGGTCCCTCCTGTGCTCAACCCCATCGTGTACGGAGTGAAGACAAAGCAGATCCGACAGCGCATCCTTCGTCTTCTCCATGTGAACATGCATACTTCAGATCCCTAGGAGTCAGTGATCACATTTTTTTAAAATTTAAAATCCTCCAATTCTGATTTTAATAGAAATATTTTGAAAGACAGTATTAAGGAAAAAGATCTTCTTTAACAACAACAACAAAAAAATACAACTCAGAGCCTTTGAAGATGAAACTGGTGGGGGAGTCTTCATGTGGAAAGAAATGACAGGACCATATATCATCATTCCCCATTTTCCAATTTTATCATCCTGTTTGTTTTTCACTTTATAATGAAGACCCTGAGGTAGTCATGGGTGAGTTATTACTTCCCATTTTTCCATCCAGAAAATTGCTTCCACTGATAGTCTGCTGCATCCTGAAACAAGTATAGTTCATCTAAAGAATACTTGCTAAAGGCTTAAGCCTGACAAAAGAAAATAAACCCAAGAATAAAATAAGGTTAGATAATTTGGCTCAGAAAGATGACTTCCTCTTCAGAATTCCCAATCATTTCACATGCAGGAAAAAGATATACCTGGATTTCCTTCTTCAAAACAAATTCCACAGAGAAAATTGCTTTTCTCCTGGGTATGAGGCTCTGAGGGGAAGATTGAAAGTAAAGCCTTGAAAAGACTACATTTGCCTACATTAAAGAGAGAGGACACACATTGTTCTGAGAGTTTTCATTTTCTTTCTTTCAGCTTCTGATTCAGGCAGGGATATTATTAGTACCCTCATTGTATCAATGGGGAAATTGATGTTCTATGGGGACTGGAAAATTGCATAAGACACAAAAACTAAACAAAACAAAACAAAACAAAACAAAAACCTATAAAAAAAAAGAAATTTTCATGCCAGTCCTATATTTTGTGAAAGGACTGTTTGACCAGTCGGATAAGGAGTAAGGTATTTCCAGAGTCTTGCATTTTCTAGAGGAAGTATTTATTCCTGTCTTTCACTAACCCCAATTATTTATGGAGCAAACTCCTGTTAATTGAGTTCGTGGCCTTAATTCCAATAGCTCTTGCTCACTGTCCTGGTCCAGTTGCCACTGTACCTGTGTGGGGAGTTCCCAAAGAGTGGCTTATTTGGGAATGGTATGACTAACACTGAAGGCACTAGGATATCTGAGAGACACTTTAGGAAGAGAAGCAGCTAAGAACATCCAGGAGCATGTGACATAATGTCAGGACTTGTTACCACAGACCAGAATCAAGAGCAAAGGGGACCATGAAACTGAGTAGGGCCAGTGGCTCATATGACTGGCCAGGAAGCAAGGTTAGGGGAAAAATGAGTCCTCAGAGAGTGAGGAGAGCACATAGGTGGATACAACACATCCCTAGGACTTTGAGTTGTCCTGCAGGAGAAGTTTGTCAGATGATTATATAACACCACCATGAAAGAGGCCAGTAAAAATCCTACAGTTTGGATATGGCCTTGATCTCCACCCAAGAAGTCTACAAGCCAAGCACAGCAGTTCCAGAAATGGGTTGGGCACTGTACAGTTGCAATAGTGGCCTGGGCAGGATTTGAGATCAACACCTAAAGGGAGAGTCCTAGTCAGATCCAAAGAGGAGCAGACAAGTTTGGGGGGCAGGGAGCATAGTGGGGAGCAGGGCATATGGCCACTCATAATTTTCTGGCTATATTGAGTAGCACAGAGGCCTACCTGATAGAGAGAGCATAGAGGCGGCAACTTCTTGTCCAAGAACTCAGAAGAATGAGGATTTGGGGCACTTTGGAATTAGCTAAGTCCAGGTGAGTGGTAGTTAATAGAAATGAGAGCATAAGCTGGGGTTATTGCAAGCTATGGTCACTTTGAACTGTATAGAGGATCAGCTGTTGTCCAGAAGGGCCTTGGCATTGGAGTTGAGAAAAAGAATGAAAAGAAGAGAAAAGAGATTTTTTTTTAAATGAGGAAAACATTATAAATCTCTGTAAACAAAAATTGTAGACACCCTGAAAATATAAAAGAAATAAAAATGTAATGAAAATCTTCAATAAAATTGTCACCTTTGAATATTTTTAAAACACGTTATTAGCACTTTGGTGTTAATTCTTCTGGATTTTTAGTATGCAGTTGTGTGAGTGCTTCTCCATGGGCACATGATAACTGTATGTGTCTGTTTTGTATTTGGAACCCTTTTGGAGGCAAACATAGATGGATAATAGATGAATCAGACAGACACATTTAAAAACTTTTCTAAAGAATTCCTAGTCTATGATAGCGAATATGCCCATGACAAAGACTCATGGCTATGATCCTGAATGACTTTACTGTTCTGTGAATGTAAATATACCCACCACCACCACTCCCACCCCTTTCTCATTTTTCCCAACAAGTACTAAATTCCAGATACTGGCAAAACTAGACCAGATTTCTGGTGATTTACTTTATAAATACTTTCTGGGATTCCTTGGAAGGGTCTGGAGAAAGAAGTAGGATGAAGGAGAAATGTTGCTTCTTTTAGGAGATTTGGTTGGAAAGTTGGGATATGTTCTGGATAATCCTTCATTATATGCCTTTCCCATGGACATCCTTTTAACCTTCGCTGGGTCCTTTGTTCAGATCTTTCTGCCTCTGGCCCTATAGTCTCAGATATTTGTTGGGTCCTGGAGAAGTCAGAATAATACTAAAACTTAGTATCTAAGTCATTTCTAGGATTTTTTCAGGTTTAATCCAGAAATGATTCTTAGTGTGTCTTATGTTCTCCATTCTGACTGTCAACACTGGGGCCCAGATGCTCGTCTTCTACAGTGGCAGTTGCCACAGCCTGCACACTGCTCTCCTGATCTTCAACATCTTTGCTTCAGTTCTAAATCCCATGTAGATTACACTTGTTTTTCTAAACACATCTCTGATTATCTTACTGCCCTGTTTGGAATCCATTAAAGATCGCCTCTCAAATAGCATACAAATTTCTTAGAATAACAATAGGTTATCACACAATAGTTCCTCTTCCCTTCCATATCTGTTCTTATCCTATTTTTTTGGTATATTTTTTCAACATATCATGCATTCTGATACTTTACAATACTTGCTGTCTCTCAATGTTTCACATACTTTAAAGTCTCTGATTCACTGTTTCTTTTATCTGAGTTGACTGCTGCCATTTTTCTTTTAGTAATACCAATAAATAAATAAATAAATAAATAAATAAATAAAAAATAAATAAAGCTCTTGGTGATTCATTAGGACCCCAAAGCCTTCATGCTATAGTGTTCCCAGATCTCTTTGTTCAACTTTACAACCGGACCATTTCTAATTCACAAGAATTGGAGAAAGCCTGTCATCGCTGAGTCTACTTAGGTTAATAAACTGCCTTATTCCACTCCTCAAACTGAAATAAGACCCCCTTGTATGTGATGGGCACACCTGAGGAGTGCTATCCCCCTCCATTGGATCTGGGTTTCTGGTTACAGGCAGACCAGAATTTGGGAAAGAGCTATGTTATACCATCAATTTAGGGTTTCAGTGCTGATGTGTGTGATCTCTCTCTTACATACAAAACCCTCAAAGTTGGTCTTGCCTGGAATTGTACGGGTTTTTATTTTAGACTTGATTCAAAAAAGGCGAATCTGATACAGAATAAAATTGTGGTCTTGCCTTTTATACTGCAGGGTTTTCAACTCTAGGTAAGTTAAAGTGAAGGATGTGGGTGTGGAGAATCTAGACATCTGAGATAAGGACCCAGAAGAGAGAGCAATCTTCAATATCAGCCTTCACTGTGGAAGCTGAAAGGCAAGGGAGTCTTTTGGAGAAATGGACATTCCCGAAAGAAGTTTCAAGAAGAATCAGTGCTAAGGCATATGGCACCATATCATCTGATCAACACATTTATTTATCCACTTATTCAATAAACATGTCTGGAAGAAAAAGCTAATAAGGTGAGACAATGAGTCAGAGCGGCAAGGGCTAAGGAGAATAAGACAGAGAACCTAACCTTAGGAGACTTTTAGCTACTACATAGTCTCTTAATAGTAAATAGTAATCTTGTGAGCTAGCTTCCTGATTCCAAAGCATCTCTTAATTTCTTCCACTGAAGTTGTAGGGTGGAGTGGTGGTATTAGATAAAGATTGTTCCTCCTGGATCCAGTCTTGTGCATATGTCCAACAAACTTCTAATATACAAACTTCTTAAATACAAAATACTAACTTATTTTACAATAAAATTCTGATAAGTGATTTTTATGTACTAGGTACAAGCCAAATCATTTACCATAGTCTGTGCAATTCTGTACAACCTGGTCACCTACCTTTCGGGCTTTATCCCCTTCCATAAGATTATAAGCTCTGGAGGTATTGTTTAGTCTTTAATCCTCCTTACTTCTTTGCAAAGTAAATGCTAGACATGGATTTATAAGATAACTGAACTTTATGATATTCCCACTGTCTTAGCATGGACTAGGGATTTTCAGTGCTTGCTGAGCCTAACAGGTTCCCATGAGTCTATAGGAGGGTCTTCTTAGTCTTTCTCTGTTATTGGTGCATATTAATTATAAATAATAGTAGGTTTCACTGTGTCATATTTGTACATGAACATGTCATCTTTTGATTAATTTTACTCCCTAGTACCTCCCCTTGCCTTCTTCCTTCCTCTGCCTAGTCTTCTTTCTCTACTTTCTACTTACTCTCCTAAGGGAACAAAAGGGTATACAGGGTTTTTAACTCTAGGTCTTTCTTCTATTTTCATGAGATCCTTTCCCCCCTTGCTCTAGCTTCCATATTTGAGAGAAAAGAGATGATACTTATCTGAGTCTGGTAATTTCACTTAATAAATTGTTCCATCCATTTTCCTGCAAATAACATAATTTCATCCTCCTTTATGCTGAGTGAAACTCCATTGTGTATATATACCAGATTTTCTTTATCCATTCATTTGCTGACTGATGCATAGGTTACTTATATAACTTGGTATTGTGAATTGTGCTACTATAAACATGAAAATGCATGAATCTACTATTTTTAATTATTTAGATAAATGTGGAGAAATGCAATAGCTGGATCATATGGTAGTTCTATTTTTAGTTTTTTTGAGGAACTTCCATACTGATTTCTACAGTGGCTATACTAATTTACATGCCCAACAAAACGGTGTAAGGATTCCTCCCTGCTCCCACATCCACAACAGTGTTTCTGGCTATTTGTGTTCTTGATGATTACCATTCTGATAGAATGAGATGGAACCTCAGTATAGTTTTGATTCCTGTTTCCCTAATGACTAAAGAGGTTCAACATTTATTTTCATGTAATTCTTGGCCATTTGCACTTCTTTATGAAAAGTATCTGTTTACTTCATTTGCCCAGGAATTGAATGAGTTATTTGGTATGTGGGTGTGTGCTGAGTTTTTTGAGTTTTTTTTTTTAAATGTATTTTAGAAGTTAATCCTCTGTTGGAAGAATAGCTTGCAAAGATTTTCTCATTTAACAAAAAAATCTATTATATCTTAAGTTTTATCACCCTTGGTCTTTCTTCCTCAGAACCCTGAGCATGGCCCCCCGGATGGGCTTGGACTTGACACTGTAGATGATGGGGTTGAGCACAGGAGGCACCACCAGGTACACATAGGCAACAAGAGCATGTACAATGGGGGGCAGGTGCCTCCCAAAACGGTGGATCATGGACACACCTATGACTGGGATGTAGAAAACCAACACGGCTAAGAT